ATTGCGCGCCATTTTGAAATTTAATGTCGGGGGGGTGACTGCCTCTAGTCACTTGCTAAGCTATGCGCAGTACGGCATGCGCAGTGACGAAGCCCTTACGCTTTTTTCAATGAAGTCGGACATCTGGTCCTCTTAATCCACGGGCAATAGGACAGGTGTAGTGTTGTTAAATAGAAAGTTAGAAATGGTATAATTGTACTTCCTCATGTATTATAATTATGTTTAAAAGATGAGAATATTCATAACTTCTTATTTTGTTTCATAAATAGTTCTTTAATATTCGAAACAAATTCCATATCTGCTTCGTCTGCCATCGCCATGTTTACTCGTCCCAATCTACATGCTGCACGGCATTGCCGCCCCTCCTGGCAAAATAATAAGCAAGCGAGAAAAATTAAGGAGAAATAAGAGGGTAGGAACATTGTGGGCGTTTCGTGGGCGTGTCATCGTTCTGGGCGAATCGGCTTTCGCAATCTTGTATCACATGACTAATTCAAATCGTCATAGGCGGGAAGCAGCATTACGTCATCCCTACGTCAAATAAAACGTTTTAAAACGCGTCGAGGATACGTTTGTGCCATATATGGAAGTTATGGATACGTTTGTGCCATATATGGAAGTGTCACTGCATCCAGCTTATGACAACGATGTTCCTACCCTCTTATTTTCTCCTTAATTTTTCTCGCTTGCTTATTATTTTGCCAGGAGGGGCGGCAATGCCGTGTAGCATGTAGATTGGGACGAGTAAACATGGCGATGGCAGACGAAGCAGATATGGAATTTGTTTCGAATATTAAAGAACTATTTATGAAACAAAATAAGAAGTTATGAATATTCTGATCTTTTAAACATAATTATAATGCATGAGTAAGTATAATACCATTTCCAACTTTCTATTTAACAACACTACACCTGTCCTGGAGCTGCCCGTGCCCCATCCATGTGTACTAAGGCATAAAAAAAAACCCTGTGGTTCCGGTTCCCGACCGACCCTATTTTTTTCTGCCGACCCTATTATTTTTTCAACGTAATTGACCGTGCGACCCTATTTTCTCTGGGTGGTTGCGGGCTGCTGCCAAAATGGTGTCTGTTGTCACTAATTATTGAAAAAAAATATTTAAAAAAAAAATATTTCCGACCTACCAACCCTAATTTTTTCGTGATATGAAACCGGAACCACAGGTATTTTTTTACGCCTAATTATAGAGCATTTATTTTTCAACATTTGGTGTAAATTTGAGGTTGTAAATTGTATAGTGCTTGTTAGTCTGCTGCATAGGATGTTCTGTTATTGCAACAGAGTATCTAAATATAAATTGTTTGGCATTGGGCACATAATAGACTACGACAAATAGCCATAGGGTACAATGCAACTTATTGTTAATATTAAATTGTGGTCATTGTGTGCTTTTAGGTGATGAGTTATTCTCAGACACCTTCCCTGTTAAGCTCATTGATGGTTTATATTATGAAGTGGAAGGCAAAGTAAGTTGGGTCTCTGAAGAGACCATGGTAACTTGTTACTTGTAACTTTTGGAACAAGTGAGTCAGCTTGCAACTCATACTTCTTCAGTAAACAGGTCATTGTAGCAGGCTTTTAGCCAGAAGGGTGTCCTCAGACACCCCTAGAACGAAAAATGGACGTCCAAATTCTGGGGGAAAGCGAAATTATTTTCAATTATTTCCCTAAGTATATTAATATATCTGAAACAAAATAGCTTCAATTCTCATTATTATTATGCATTTGACAATTTGATGAATTTGATGGCGTACCTGGCTGAATGAAAATGTCATAGTTATTAAAGTAAAGAAGCATAGCGGCACAAACTCACAAAGCCAAGTGTGTTTGAAAAATTTCGAACAGATACTGACATGAAGTAACGTAAACTTCAAAGGTTTTCCAGAGCAACGTTTTCTTGAACCCCCCTCTTTACTGTGGATGTGGACGCCCTCTTTTGGGACCCTGGCTAAAAGCCTGCATTGTAGCTCTGGCTCATCCGTCGTGTCTATTAAATACAGAGCATTTATTTTTCAATATTTGGTGTAAATTTGAGGTTGTAAGTTGCATATAGCTGCATAGGATATATGGCTGCATACACCTTGAGTTGCGAACCTCAGGAATACCGAGCCAGTGGTGGAATGAGGTAAAACATTTCAGGAATGGTTCCTGCTGCACCAATAGGAAATATTTGCTCACAACTTCACATCAATGGCATCAATGGAATGTCAAATTTGTATATCACAGATCTGATCAACACCGCACTTCTGGAACATACCAACCGCTTAACAGTCTTCCTCCCATCGACGAAAGTTCTGAGGTACTAAAGCTTGGTGTTTATTCAGTGTACTGTATTTAGCATTACTAACATTGAACCCTCGCAGAGTATCTGGTCCGTACGGGGTGCCAAACTGGCTGCTTAAAGATTGTGAATTGTGATATCCTGAACAACTCTTTCGACGAACAAGCGCATCCTGGAAATACGCAAATGTTACAACACTGCCAAAAATGAAACCATAATCGCCAAGCGTATTAGACCCATCTCGCTAACTCCGGCTCTATCTAAGTTAGCCGAGGATTTTGTCGTAAGAAATTATGTTGGTCCTGCCGTACCGAAATCATCTACAGTAATACCCAGGCTCTTATTTCCATGATACACACGTGGACTTCTGCCACTGATGGAACAGGTGTCACCAGATGACAGAAAAGATCTGATCGACCATCGGATTCTAGTTGACAAGATCTTTTCTCTTCGAATGGCATTCGCGTGGTGTAGCTCGCTGGGTGTGTGACTTTTGTTGAACAGGTTCCAACGTGTCAAACTGTCCAACGATTGTTTCTCAGAATGGGGTGCAGTTTCATCTGGTGTTTCCCAGGGTACGAGACTGGAGCCCTGGCTGTTCCTATTAATGACAAATAACCTCAACCCATCTGATGCGCACTCTTGGAAATATGTGGATGACACCACTTTGGCTGAGGTTGTCCCACATAATGGTCGAACCAAAATATAGAATGCGGTTACTGAAGTTGAAAATGGACTAACATTAACAAGCAATTCTGATCTGCAAATTAGACTAGAGATCGTTACCTTGGTTGAGTTGTTAATAATACTTTTGCCCAGGTCAACAATGAACAATACGCTCTGCAACATATCTTCATTGTCTTGGGCTTGAATATTTTAAATCATTTGTTCTGACGTGAAGAATTATTTCGTCAGGATGTTGCTCGATGATAGTTGAAACATACAGTATGATTACCTTGGCGCCTGAGAAAGATTTGACGGCTGATCTCGCTTTACTAGTCGAACGTTTACGCATGACCCAGAACATGTTTCGCAATGGAATCAAACACAAACTGCCACGGTTTTACGATCCCGCATATGGTCTGTTGGTATTTGAATGATCATTTCTTTCAATATTCTTCTTAGTAATTAATTTTTCCTTGATGGTCTTGCTGTTTTTGGTCTTTACTTCACACTGAATTGACTTGTCCATATAACCAACTCACCGATCTTGCAGCACTTTATTATTCGCAGGTTCTTTATTCACTGGGTCTCTATATTATTTATTGGGTCTCCATTAATTCATTGGAAACACAAAATTGTACTTGGTAGTTTGAACAAAAATAATTGAATAAATGAAGAAAACACGAGTTCTTTTAAGTAAATAATAATCACAGATATGTATAGGATAGGCGCCACCATATTTTGCATATTTTTTTACCATTATACTTTATTTTCTGTAGACAGTTGCAGAAGATTCTGGTGGAATTGATGATTCTCTGATTGGAGGAAATAAATCTGCAGAAGAACCAACTGCTGAGGAATACAGTAGTGATAGTACCTATGGTTGCAATATTGTGTTTAACCACAGATTACAAGCAGCAGCAGTAATGTCCAAGAAGGATTATGGAACAATAATCAAACCTTATGTAAAGAAAGTACACGAGTCGCTAGTTAGTGAAGGTAATGCTGATGAGGCTGCAGTTTTTAAAAATGGAATACTTGACGTTGTAAAGAAGTTGAAAGGAATGTGGGATGACCTTATCCCATATACTGGAGAGAGTTGCAACACAGATGGCATGTTGTGTTTTCTGAATTATCGAAAAAGTGGAGACCCGTATATGATATTCTTCAAGCATGGGCTTATAGAAGAGAAACAAGTAAGTTTTTCAAGTTATTAAACACAGTTGCATGGTGTAATACAGATTGATAAATAGTTCTGTGTTTCGATGTTAAGGCCTGTTTAATAAACGAGCAGGAGTGTTTTATTAGGTTTAAAGCCACGAGCGCGCGGCGCGAGTGGCTTTAGACCTAATAAAACACGACCTGCGAGTTTATTAAACGGCTTCAAACACGACTACAAATTCAATAGATATACTGCCTTATTAGTATTCTTTATATAAAGAATACTAATGAGACACGACTACAATAGATACTGCATTATTAGTACTCTTTATATAAAGAATACTAATTAGGAGTGTTTTATCACGTTTAAAGCCACTGCACGTGGCATATTATGGTTGACATGATTTGCCAATAAGCTTATGAATTATTAATGAGTGTTTGAATTTAGTGTTAGTAAATATTAAATCTGTTAGTGAACATTTAATGTTATTATTTTATTAACTTCGTCATTAGGTGTTGGTTCGAGTAGGTTTATGATTACAAAATTGAATTCATTACAGCTAATAATATGGTTATATATATTTCAGAAGAGTCAAGAGAAGAATGTCAGTACGGGTACTGGCAGCGATCGGTTTTTCCTACATAGTTAGCATTACATCCAGGGCATTTGAATTCAAACACAACGGAGCTTTGATACGTTTTTGGTGTTGGTTGGGTCTTTAAGTGAGATGAAGCAATTAGTATCAGTAGTTTTCCAGTTGACGATAAATTTGAAAGGAGATTTCAGTAGATGACTTATTTTTCGAATCAAGTTATTGGTGAGTTTAGTTCCATATTTACCGAGGAAAGGTAAATGAATCCAGATCTTGGTTGTAGTGGGGTCAATGACAGCATTATTAACCGAGTTCCTTGGGTAAGAAGAACAGGGTTTGAACAATGTCCTAAGAACAGGGTTTGAACAATGTCCTAAGAACAGGGTTTGAACAATGTTAAAAGTTTTCCAGAAAGTTTTCGGGGGAATCCATTCCATGACATGAAAGAGGCAATATTATTTACTTCAAGATTAAGGAGTTCATCATTGCTACAATTTTTGTGGGCCCTCATCCATCGTGCCTCGTTCATCAAAATTAGGAAATAATACAACTATACAATGCCTCGCCCGCGCTCAGGCAGGCAACCATAACATTGGGCTGCCTATGATATACCCGTATTAAAGAACATTCTTCTCTTGACTCTTCTGAAATATATAACCATATTATTAGCTGTAATTAATGCACCTAATGACGAAGTTAATAAAATTAAATGTTCACTAAACAGATTTAATATTTACTAACACTAAAATAATAGATAAATCCAATCACTGGTCGTTGATACTTTATCAAGAGTCTATTGCTATAAGTAGAGTGAAACCGTCCCTAAACCATGGAACTAAAGCATCTAAAGATATATTAATATTTAACTATTATTAAAGTAACCCTCTTAGTCCAGGTTGTATCGAGATCAGCAGGTTAACTTTTAAAACTGTTTCTATGACGTCATTCGTTCCAGGCCCTAACAACTTAATGTCGCTCCGTCAGTTGCGACTGGCGACTGCTCTGTCTGATGAAATATCACTAGTATTTTTTGCAATTTCTGTTTTACTTTGAACAGAAATAAATAAAGCTGACAGCTAGGGGATGTTCATTGTGCAATGCAATTTGCCTGCTCGTATCATTGAGTGGAAGAAACGCTCCAAATGGCGTATTTTTTAGACACTTCGGGTAGTGGCAATTTTGGTTTTCCCCCCGAGTCGGATGTAAACAATAGCCGATGCAGCTTGCCGCCAGAGGTGAAATTTGCTTTTTATCTCGATTTATGATGAGGAATACACGTTTATCATTTTTAATTCTGTTTTTGTATACTCCTGTCACAGGTTGAAGAAGGCAACGTCGAATACAAAGTGAGTTTTTTCGATATTTATTTTTTATATCATTAAATGTAGATTTTTTCATCTTGAAAATATTGTAGAATATTGACTAAGTGGCTGCTTACATTGAAGCTGGGCTGTCCCAGTTGCCAAGGACAGCCGGGTAAGCGAGATCTTGCTATGTAGTTATATTTTAGGAAAAATTGAGTACTTTGTATTTACATGCACAACAAGGCCGGCCCAGTTTCAGAGACATCCCATAAGAATTTCCCCATTATCTGATAACCAAGTCACAGAATAAGAAGGTACAGCAGAAGCGTCACTCAAGCAAGTATTTGTCCTCGTTTTTACAAGCAATTCGTCATCAATCACGCCATCCTGGCTAGTACAACCGGCACTTTGTACCTACCAAAACCTGATAAAAACTTCCGGTTGTACTAGCCCAAGATGGCGTGAGCGAGTTAATTTAAAATTTTCGTGGACGTAAAACAATAAGTGAACCGACTCGAGTGACGCTTCTGCTGTACCTTCTTATTATGTGACCAAGTCTGTGATGTGGTGGCTGGGTGATACTCTAGGCCAACATCTTGCTAGCCTGTGTGTCAAGCTCTACGCTTGAGATAGAGCCTGCTACTGATGTTAATAAAAAGTGGAATTATGCGTACAAATCGTACACAAAATTCCCATTGGTCAGAAATAAATAGCCTTGCTTTATAAGGTAATATCAAGTTGTTTACATAATATGATATTCTGTACTGGTAATTGTACTTTTGACTGCATTAAATGCTGCCTTTGCTGCATATAAACACGGCCAATAACCGTTATTATTGTTTAGTTTGTAATTCCTGGCTGTTTATTAATGAACCTTGGTATATTTATTTTCGAGATATTGGTGGAAAAATTGACCGTTATTGTCATATCTTAAATTAGCTTTGATAATTATCTAATTAACAATCGCCGTTTTGATTGGTTGTTATTTTTGTGCATCCAAATGAGTGTTACCCTGGTTCCAGAGGTTTAAAATAAACCTCTGGTTGAAAGCGGCAATTGACTCATCAAGCCGCACCAATCAGTTTGAATTAGGGTCGGATCTTGACTTTGTCTCCTGATTGGATGATTGTATTAAAGCTCTCTGATTGGTTATAGATGTTTTATTTGAATCAATCAGAGAGCTTTAATACAATCATCCAATCTGGAGACAGAGTCAGGATCTGACCCTAATTCAAACTGATTGGCGCGGCTCGATGAATCAGTTGCCGCTTTCAACCAGAGGTTTATTTTCCCTCTCCCCTTCGCAATGAAAATAATAAAAATAAACCTCTGGAACCAGGGTAAATGACTGTCCACTTTTCATCGACTTCAGTGGCAGGCTTCATTTCAAGCATAGAGTAGGGTTGCACCGGAATCAATTTTTAAGTTCCGGCTGGAACCGGATCCGACTTGAACTGGAAAAAAGTTCTGGCCGGAACCCATTTATTAAGCCATATATGGTCATATGTTACTTTGTCTGCTGACAGACAGACAGACAGACACTTCAAGTCATCAAGGAGAGAGTTCGCAAATGTTAGAATGAAGAGATTGACAAATGTTAAATGTCATAAGAAAGTGTTAATAGTGTACATTTCCCTTGCGTAGTCCAGATTTCTTCCTACTGTGAACTTTTGTTAGATACAAAAACTATTGATATTCTATCTCTCTCAAAATGACAGGGTTCCGGCCATGCTTTTTTTATTAGTTCCGGCTGGAACCGGAACTCTGAAAAATCGGGGTTCCAGCCGGAACTAACCGGCCAGAACCGAGTTCTGGTGCACGTACCCCTAGCATAGAGCCTGACACACAGGCTAACGTCTTGCCAAACAGATCGCAACTAGAATTTATAAAGCAGTGAATAACTTAATATACCCCAGCAAGCTTAATATTATTTTTCAACCTACCTCGCAAGTCCACTCTCATAATCTTTAGGTATTCACACAATATATTCACCCCACCATGGGGCTGTCTTATGGAACAATATTCCAGATGGAATAAAAAGTCAGGCTTCAATAATTTAATATTAGGATTGGAGTAGTTATAAATCGTATATATATGTTAAGCTGGGTTTTTTGTTTAAAAGGTGAGGGCCGATTCAAAGGTTGCCTTGCATTCTGTAAGAATTATTATTTGCTTGGGTCAACACCTTGTCAAACCGCATTTTATTTCCATGGTCTGTTTTACGTATCTATAATTACTTGTGAGGTACTTTGTCAAGAAAAGCTTTAAGGTAATTAAAAAACAGTAACGATTTGTCAGACACAAATCAAAACAGGAACCAAAGACTTGGTTCACACATTAGTCAATCAAAAACAAATACAAATATAAAAAATCAAGAATATAAAAACTATAGTTTTATAAAACAAGACACACAATGGTCGCATTATAAAATGTTTGTAACAGGGACTCATAGTCGCTGTTCCATTATATTGAAAAGCGCCATTCCTTCAGCCATCTCATCCAATTTTATCAACCTTCTAAGCGTTTTAAAAGAAAGGAGTCATAACATTAACATTTTCAGAGGCGCCGGAATATCGATAATTGCGGGGGCAGATATTCATATATTCGTGTTCACAGACGGTGATTGCTAGATAGTATACTTCAAAATAAGGTTTCCGTTTTTATAACGTAGAAAAAACCATCCTAACGCAAAACTAAACCCTAATACTAAACTTAACCCTAACCTTAACCTAACCCTAATATAACCCTAACTTATTTAAAAAATTGATATAAAAACGGAAACCTTATTTTGAAGTATACTATCTAGCAATTTCCGTTCACAGACTGTAAAAACAATCGATTTCAAAAGAAATTAATTGAGCAGAACACGAATATATGAATATCTCCCCCCCCCCCCCAAATTATCGATATTCCGGCGCCTCTGAACATTTTGCCATACTAATATATGTAAACCATAAGGCATGATCATTTTCAAGAAAAAAGTATACCATAATCAGCCGGGGGCAGTTTTGATGCTCTTTGAAAAACTTGCTTGTGCATGTTTTGTCCAAATTGCAACTGTGATTCAATTATTGTGCATATTGCAGTAGGCTGATGCAATATATCAATATTTTTGATAAATATCGATATTTCAAAAATTTCTATATTGGATGTACTGTAATAATAATTTAGACATTAATACAATAAAACAACCTGATTTATTATTTTATGTAATGTTTTGGTTTTAAATGCCCATATTAATAATATTGAAGCAAAGCAAATTTTTTTCTAACGACATTTACATCTAACACTTTTTCTGAACGTTTGAAAACTACATAAATATACGAAAAGGAAAAGTACGATTTTTTACCAACTATCATAATAAACAGCGCTTTAATTAAACACTACAGCAATGATACAACAACTGTGTAATTTACATCACGTGTATCGTGTATCATGTTTTAAATAGTACATATCGTGGGCTTTGATACTTTGGTGTGTGTGACAGAACATTGTGTGTCGTATAAAGCAGCTTGCTGCATGTCAGCGCATTTGACACAACACATAAAAAAATCAAATTTCAATGGATGTAAACGGTTGCATGGAGTTGTTTCATATACGACGACTGGTAAACGTCCCCCTTAGATACGCGTATATCCGTTTTAATTCTATGTAATTATAATTATTAGCTAAAGCTTGTGAATCCCAGCCCGGCAAGGCTCATACAGCTCGTGACACAGTTAAAATGGCGACTACAGGAAGGCCAAGGTGAAGCTATATATGAGATAGGAGTGGAAGACAACGGCATGCTAGCTGGTCTTACGCGAGAAGAATTGAACATGTCACTGAATACACTGAAAAGAATGGCTGCTAAACTTGGATCAGAGACTACAGTTTTACGAGAGCAAGTGGTTGATGGATTTGTGGGTGAGGATAACGAAAGAGTTGTGGCTGAAGTTCTTGTTCGAAAAGTTGCTGATGATCAGCAGGTATCAAAGCTTTCATCTATTACGTACCGTAACGTACCGGTGAGCATGCGCATCTTGAAGATTACGAACGTCCGGTTGATTCGCGTATCAAAATAAAAAGTTCGTCGCAGGTCAACTTTTGAGCGTACTACGGAAGTATTAACCAATCAACATTCACTAAATTTTGAAATTTACGCTTGGAGTTACGCTTGGAGTGGAAAACGATTTTTCTAGTCTGAACGCACGAACCGAAACGTGTTTATTAAAAGGCAAAATTAAGATGGGTTGAAAGCAATTGGAAAGAGGAGGCAGTATAAGTTGAAGCACCTTTGTATTGAAAACAGCACACTTTGGTTTACTTTATACTTGAAAAGGAGTATGTTTGTAATAAAAACGCCATTAAAACGTCTGGAGCATATCATGGGCTATAAAAATGTTTTTCGTGTATGTATAGTCCGTCGATCTGTGAAAACTGAAAACTTGCGCATGTACAAACGCGCATGTACTGTCAGTATGTAGTGCCTTCAACCCTCTACAAAGCGCATGGTTTTTTGGGCATGCAGGAAAGCTATTTTAAGTTTTTAGTAACAATCTGGTATTAACAATCGGAGTCGGCCTAGTAGTAACTTGAAACGATCGTTAATCGATAGTTTCCGTGTGTGGCATGATCGATCAATAGTTTACGTGTCTTGATGTTTTATTGAAATGTTTTCTGCAGTATGTTTATATTATTTTAGTTTATTGACATTCGTTTGGCAGTTCTTGGCAATGTTGATGTCGGCAAGAGCACGCTAGTCGGTGTGTTAACGCAAGGAGAGTTGGATAATGGTCGAGGACGAGCAAGACTCAATCTTTTCAGACATCTTCATGAAATTGAATCTGGTCGTACATCAAGTATCAGTCACGAAATTCTTGGATTTAACAGCAAAGGACAGGTAAACTTCAGTGACATAAATTAGATTCATATAGCTAGCGTCTTTTTTTGCTGCACTTATAGGCATAAATCGATTGATTCATACGAAAACCCAGATCCTTACCCCACCCAACCCCTTCTCTTCGTAGACCACCTGTTCGTAGGCCACTATCATGGAATTCCCTCAATGCCAAACCTAGAATCTCGACAGCAAGTTTTTGTGTACTAACTACTAAATAGTTGCGTATATCATGCTGCAGTATTGATACAAAGTTTATATTATATAAACCTGCAGGTTGTCAACTACAGTGATTCTGGAAGTGCAGAGGAAATATGCGAAATGTCATCAAAAATCGTTACATTTCTTGACTTGGCTGGACATCAGAAATATCTAAAGACTACAATATTTGGACTCACTGGTCATATCCCTGATTTTGCAATGCTGGTCATTGCTGCAAATGCTGGAGTAGGTATGTGGGAATGTTTGTAACTTTGTACCTGCATATGCACAAATGTTTCATAGTAACAAGAGCTAGCAAGCATGCACTAGTAAAATTAAATACAATCTACTGTAAACTGCAGTTAAATGGACTAAAATAGTTTTATAGACTATTTTAAGTAAAAATGGCCAAAAATATGGGGTTATTTCATGTTATAAAAACTTAGGTACAGTCTGGTTCCGTGGCGAAGCTAGTGGTCATGGTGGGCGTGACCAAGAATTGTCCCCAAAATATGAATATACAATTACTTTATGGTTTCTGTGTTTGGATGGCCTGATCCAAACACGGGTTTCGACCAATCACAGCACGCGTTATATACATGTTATTTTATAATGATACTTCTTGTATTCTTGCACAACACATTCCTTCCATTTGGTTAAATTTTTTAAATAGTCCAAAATCTCCGATATCTTTCTAATGACTTAAAATAATACCTTTTGTGTGTGTTGGTGTTATGATGTTTGTGATGTTATTCTGAGTCTGCATCCAGACCGAGCAAGCTGAAAAGTTTGTTTATTCTACATTATAGGTACCCAAACAATCTATATTTTTCATTGAAACATTTCATGAAATAAACGGATTTGTGAAATTGAGAGCCGTTTCAAAATTGTCTAGTTTTTTATACACCCTGTATGTATTATTAACTTAAATAGAATACAGATTAGTGTTTGAACGTGTGACTGGGAAGTTGGGAACTCTCGGGCACACTCATCCTCGTTTGATCGGGGCGTAAGGCTCTACAATGAGGAATGAAGGTAATTTTTTTATTTGTGTGTTGCAGTTGGTACGTCACGTGAACATCTGGGTCTTTGCATTGCTCTGGATGTTCCAATGTTTATTGTTGTCAATAAAACTGACGCATGTACAGCCGCTATTACCGAGCAAACTATCAAGGGCCTGGAGAGAGTTCTCAAATCACCTGGTTGCAAAAAGATCCCAGTACGTGTTTCAAATTCTGATGATGCTGTTGTTGCTGCCACATACTTGGTTTCAAATAAGTATGAAATTAATTTTATTTACATTTAAATAAAATACAATGGAACCAGACCTAGACATACGGCCTTCGGAATTCCTTCACTAAAATTGAGCAAAAAATGGATATGAGAGGGAGAGGGACGATAAATACAAAAAAAATGCCCATTTCGATGTGGTCAGCTCTTCGTACCCTCTTCGGACTTTTTGGCAAGTTATATAACAACGATTTTAAACAGGGCCATACACAGCAGTGTGAGGGGGGGGGGGGGCGGCAACTGCCCCCTAGAAAAACTATATTTACGATTTTTGGAATGACATTTATTAATTATTCTTTGGGTATTTGTGACTTTTTTTGGCATATAGGCCTTACTGCCGCCTGGTGAAAAAATCCTGCGAACGGCCCTCATTTTAAAGATGAACTTTGTCGGTTGTATTATATGAGGATAAATTTCGAAACAGTATTAATTTAATGTCGTCTGTTTGTATTTATAACCTGAAACGACTGGGCATAATGCTGAAATATATATATAACATAAGTAGAATCGTTTATGAATTTTTTCATAAACTACATTTATTATATTCCTTTCAATTTTATAACACAAGAGGAAATATTTTTTATACCGACATTATACATCCGTATACCCCGTAGTCAGTCCGGTGTTGGCTTTCACAATAATTTCCCACATTGTAAGATAAAACTCTACAACGCTATCAAAACTACACAACCTCACTTTCTGAAATTTAAGGCAGCCTAGAATTGTCGTTCAAGACAAAGCAGCTAGTGCGTTCATTTGCGAAGTAGTTCGTGTAATATTTCGAGTTAATCGGAGGAGTATATGCGAATCTAAAATGGCTAGGCCTTTACACAACATCCGCCTCATAAAGTCGATCAACCTGTAAACCAAGTGCCACGTGCCCAGTAAAGGCCCTAGATCTAGGCTGCAGTCAAACCCGTTAAATACGAACTCCAAAGGAACATGTATTAAATAGGCGTCACCACAATTATAGGCATGTGCCGGATCCGCATACCGGTATACGATACATGGATTACACGCCTACGTAATGGCATAAAGCTCAACATTCCATTGCAGCTTCAGTTCGTTAAAAATGGGACTGTGTATTAGCATTGCTATATATATTGAGGTCTAAGTTTTAAAGAGATATCCGTATTAGAGAGGATGCCTATTTAACTCTATCATATTCGTTAGCCAGAAAACGTATAAGTCGCCGTTAAGTAACGGATATCAACTAGAACGTGTTGGAATGTTCTATCCTCACAAAAGAGCTCAACCATATATATTCTCAATCTCATTGCAGGACGACTCCAATCTTTACAGTTTCCAGTGTGACAGGACGGGATTTGGATTTGTTGAAACAATTCCTAAATGTGATTCCACCTCGTCAGAGTCAAGAAGAACAAGAGAAACTAATGCAGGAAGAACCCGAATATTTGGTAGGCTAGATCTGGCGATTTCATGTATGTAGGCCTCTTGCCAGTAATGGATTTCCTGGAGGCACGGGGGGTTTCTATATCAAATCTATTTTTCGGATTTGGAAATGTAATTATAAAAACAAAAATGAAAATAGAGACAAACTGACAAAGTGTAGGAATGTGCGGTATGAGAATATTCCGGAATCGGTATACCAGAAAAATCATACATATTATCCATATGCCGGTATTTCGGCTTTTAAATTAGATATGAGAATTCCTTAGTCGAGAGTTTAAGGAAATTTTCATTTTGAATAATTTGAAAAGTGGAAGCACGGTTTATGATCATTTCGAAGGAATTTCAGGCAGACAGACATTGTTTTTAACACGAAATGTCTACTTCTTTTACTTTGCATTTGAGTAAAACAAAAATTGATAATTTCGCCATATGCATGGTGTGTAAATTTGATATGGTATACCAAAAAATTTCAATGTATCGGAAATTTCAGTATATCGGTATGACTGAAAAACTCATACCTATATTGGTTTCAATACCGATATTTTCGGTATGCCGAACATTTCTAACAAAATGAGGTAGTAACATAATTGTGAAATTGTCTAGCAAAACAATGAATCTACAGTATATATGGAACTAGTGCTTCGCTGCCGTAGTCTTTTGTTTCGAAATCATTATGGTCACTAGAAGTGCTCAGGAAACAAAGAAATAGCTACATTTTGTTGCGAAACGGTTGAAGTGAAACCAGCTTCAAAGCCTGGTTTACACTGGCAATTTGTCGCCGATTTTTCCTACTCCTGGCCGATGTGATTGAGTGAGTGACATGAAAAATGATCAAGAATTCACTCGTTCGCATCTATCTAATTACCTTAAACCTTCGAATATAAGCCCTGGCCGTATTTCCCGTCATTCATGTTTCTTGATTTCTATTATACTTAACAATTTTGGTATTTTGGGTTTATTTTCGTATTTTGGGTTTATGTTCAGAGGTTTTAAAACTTCCTGATCCAGGGTATTTACGGCATCGCATGTTGACGTTTTTCGTTTGGTTTATGCAAGAAATTTTTATTTTTGGAATATGCTGCCAGGAAGAAAAACATTTTTGTCGCCTGATACTGGGGGAGAAAGTGTTATCTTCGAAGGGTCGGAGAGTTACCACATTGTTGTATATTTGCCTCTTATAGTGTATAATTAAAGCATTGTATGCATAGGCCAATTCAGATTTTCCACTGTGCACCAAATAACGTGTTGTGCGCCGCGATATAAGACACATATATGAGACACTTAGGCTGCCTTCAGACTGGGTGTCCGGCACTGGTGCCCGTCACTGGTGCCTGTCACTTGTTTTCGGCCTTTGGCGCCTAGTTTGAACACGACACTTCCAAATGAAATTGAGCACAGTGCCCAAGTAAGGGCACTGCTTCTAGAGGTAGTACTCAACAACTGCACTGTGCTCAGCATGTGAACCATTGCCGGGCACTCAGTCTGAACGCAGCCTTATATACCCGTTATAATGTCAATTTCCCAGAAATATGTGACATGCACGTGTGGATATATGTCATTGCTTTGCACATAATATTTACGTGCACACACGCTGACATTTTTTACCATCCGTATTAGAGGTGTGTAGCGGATCGGATTGGACGTTTATAATCCGACAATTGCCTAATGTTTAAAATCCGATCCGAAATTGTCTAATCCGAATCCGATCCGAGTTTTGATAAAGAATTCCGATCCGATCCGAAGAATTCTTTAATAAAATAAATTTTTCATTCAAGTTGGAATATTTAACCAAATAAATATAAAAGCGAAAAATACATGTCAAGAAGCTGACAAAGTGACGTCCAATTGAAGTATCAAACGAATAATGCAGCGACAACCGCGATAATGCTTTGATAAATGCGTGGATAATTCATTTTATTTCGGATATCGAAGTCCGATCCGACTACGAAACAACTTTATCAATCCGATCCGAAATGAATATTTTGGTTACGAAATCCGAACGAATCCGATCGAATTCGGATCGGATTTGCACACCTCTAATCCGTATGTACAAAAAGTGAAATCTGAATTTTTTCTGTGTTAGTGTAGCGTACTCAGGTGAATATGATATTTGTGGTGTTACTCTGAGTCTATATCCACACCGGGCGAGCTTGAAAAATATGCCCGGCCACGGTGGGATACGTTCGGCCACGGTGGGATGCCCGGCCCGGCCACGGTGGGATATGCCCGGCCACGGTGGGATGCCCGGCCACCGTGGCCGGCCATATTTTTCAAGCTCGCCCGGTGTGGATATAGACTCAGAGTAACACCACAAATATGAAATCTGAATGTTCGTACTGTACTGTATTGTTTTGTTTTGTTTTGTTTAGGTGGATGAAACCTTCAATGTTCCTGGAACTGGGCTTGTTCTTGGCGGAACCTTAATGAGGTTTGTATGTAGAAAATTGCTTTTCGAAGCATTCAAATGAAACATCCAAAGAACTCAATAAATTAGCCGTCGTGTTCGCACTACCCTGACCTTAACCCTAACCGTTGACCCTAACTCATAAACAGCGAGACATGAATCTATAATCCTTTAGTCAGGGTGTAATTAATCGACGGGAATTAGCATGGGCTTTATTTTATGCCCGAGGATTGGCTCGGGGATTAATGGGAACTGGGAAACAGCAACATATCCATTAGGTACATGTCCTTTCACAGCAGACCATAACCATCATGATTTTTCTGTGTTGGTGTAATGTACTCAGGTGAGTATGATGCTTGTGATGTTACTCTGAGTGTATATCCACACCGGGCAAGCTTGAAAAATATGCCTGAACACGGTGGGAATCGAACCTACGACCTTTGGAATACTAGCCCAATGCTCTGCCAACTGAGCTACGCGTTCTGGTCGGTTCGAGTATGTGATATTTCGGAACAGAATCTAGTTCCTTCGATATCAATGTTATCTAATAATAATCATGATTTTTCTGTGTTGGTGTAATGTACTCTACTACCATAACCATATAAAACAGAAAAAGTACGTCCAAATATGTAGATATCAGTGAAAATTTACACATAAAACGGTACCCGTAAATCAGAACCGCCCTGTCTCAAACTTTCTTATAATATGTTTGACGAAGTTTGGCATATTTATTTTTATTTTTTATTTATCTTTCGTTTAACGTTTTTCACCGTGAGATCAAACCATTTGGTCGAACATTGTCTTACAGGCAACCTTAACACAGCTTTATCACCCCCTGTTTCGACTGACCGGCCGTGCGTAACATTTAAGCAATTTTGCTGGAAATCCGTGTTTTTGGGACATGTAGAACAAGAAAAGTTTTAATTAAACGCCAACCAAAAGTATTTCGTTCGTAATCAGTATTTTCAGGCTTTCTTCACTGAAAATTTGGTGAAACTAAGATTGTTTGCGCAATGTCCAATCTACCAGAACGCACGTAATGTACCGTGTGATATAGTTTTAATGCCAGTTCTGGTAAGGGGCCATTCACAAAGGATGTCCGAGGGGGGGGGGGGGGG